ATGAGTGAAGTTTGATCGTGATTGGTCCAGGCATTTCTAAGATACAGGTCCGGACATACGCACAGACGGACGCATGCACGCACACACGAAGGTCAAAACATAAGTCCCCGTTTTCGGACTTCGTCCGAACGGGGACTAATAATTAAAGCCTATACACTACATCAGATTTTAATCAGATTGAATTTTTGGCAGATCGTCTTCTTATGAACAAATTACCATCTACACTCATCAAGGCATCCACACACCAAAAATCGAGTCAAACGGTTCAGCGGTTTTTGAGAAGAAGTCACGCACAGACAGACAGACAACAGAAACCCATCCCATATGCTCAGCGGACCTATGGTCCGTTGAACCAAAAATTTGAAACTAATCTCATCTTACACAAGATATTGCTTTTGAGGTCTGTACCTGTTTTATTGCAGCCTGTATCCATGGTAACAGAAAGGTCATTCATCTCTTCCTCATCATCTTCAATGGAGTTGTACATATGTATATCATCTGTGTAGTTCAGTTTTGCAGCTTTCCGTGGACTCTTGTTAAGAAAATCCTGGTATTCCTTTCTCATTTTGGGTTTTCTAGAACTTCTTCTTGGTTCACATTCCCCATCGTTTGGGTTTCCTGCCTCCATCATTTATGGGTTCTGAGAAGATGACAATTGAATTTGTTGAATACAGTGTGTGGCTATGTACACTGGTGTTCTCCCAGCTAAACGTTCAAGCACAGGCTAATTTACATAATGTACACATTGCATTGGTATTTTGTGACAAATGTTTATCATATGAATAAAGCCAGGAAAAAAAAAAAATTCTCTGTTTCTCGTTGCATGGAAATTTTGAAAGGAGGCGGCAAGACAATTTTTTTTTTTTTTTTTTTTTTTTGAACACTGCTAAAAAAAGGGGGAATTTGAGACAAGTGCGAGTACAAGCCTATTTTGGAATGCTTTAGAAGGAAAAAAATTGTCCGAGGCGCATAGTTCAAAATGATGCGCGCGGAAGCCTAACCTATATTGTTTTTTTTTGTAAATTCAAGTTCAATCACAGATAAGCGTATCATCAGATAAACATGGCTACACCTTTGTGGTTAGAACAAAATCGGAATAATTATATTTTATTAATGTGGTTGGTCATAGTGCAATTTTATTCAAAAATCGACCCTGTAATTTGTTGAATTTATTATTCGAACCATAAGCATCCAAAACATTTACATTTACAGCAATAAACAACATTTTAACATAACTTTTACTTACATGATGCCTCTTACGCAGTCATGATGCAAAAAAATGTTACTTCTTTATAAAATTTGACTAAATTTTGTACTGTTTATAAGCCGCTGCAACATCGGACGACAAGAAAGGGTCGTTTTTTGAGCTTTCTAAAAGACTTACCGATCCTGGAGGCTATAATAAATAGTTTGCTTATGTACTTAAAAACAACCCAGATGGCTCAGCCCACCAAAATCAACTACTATGTGCTCAGAAACAAAGTTGAGTCTACAAGTATATAATTATTTTATAAATTATGTATTTTTGATACTGTAGTAGTGCATAGCTTATAGTTTCCTTTTCCTTAAATTAAAACAAAAATTAGATATTGATCTTTGAAACCTGTCACCAAAATGTAAATCAATGTAGACTGTTGCATAATGGTAAAAAGACGAATTTGTGCTTTCACTACCAAAGTGTACTGTAATACTATTTCAATATTTATCAGAACACTATACATGCAGTTCTTACTATCAGAAGTATTTAGCATATTTTACAGTTTTGAGTACCGTAAAAACTTTGAAATTCAACCACCTAATTATTTAGCAAATTAACACTTTTTAAAAAGTAATAAAAAAACTAAAAGAGTTTTTAAATTACAGCTTTTTAAGATCAAATGAAACTTATTTACTGTACTGGACCACATTAGTGCCCAATTTTTATATTCAGGGTAACATTCGGCAAAGTGCGCACCCCTTAAAATGGCATTAATACAAAACTTGGTCTTTGATCATTGCTTAACAAATACTTGTAATCGTTTTTATATGATGCAGTGTGGATATCCATCGTCGTGAATACGTTGTGAATGCGTAGACTATGGTAACCGTGCATAAACTACGCTTGGACAATAACATGTTAATAAAAGTAAAATGCAGTAAATATTTCATGGCATATTCAAACTGAATAAAAACCTATTTAAAATTGCTAGTTACCATTTTTTTTTTAAAAACCATGTCATTTTATTCGCTAATATCAATTCCAACAGATCGTACATTGACATCAATAATTCACTTTCGCATTGCGTTACCAGCAAGTCTTCGGGAAATTCCGAAGAATTTAGGCGGTAGCACACAGCATTCTGATTGGTTAATAACAGACTTGACCCATTAGGTCAAAGGACGTTGTTGCAGGTCAAATCATGAAAGAATACATCATGGCTTAAAGTGCTTTACATCAAGAGTTTGTGTATGATCCAGCACATTCGTCAGTGGAGATAATGATGAATATTTTGACTTCAACTGTGTTCCAACAGACTCTAATAATTTTAACCTTCGTAATTAATATTGTAATAAAATGTCATGTGCATATTTTTTGTGACAATTTCTGTTTCTTCATTGTTAAACGACGCAACAAATTTTGTAATTTCATTTTCCCTCGAAGACGCAATATCCCCTTCGATCTGTCACATGGTGAATTAAAATTGTCATTTGCACTCTTTTCTTGGGTAAGCGCCCATCCCAAAAAATCATGATTTTTTGAGTTGAGGACACTAATGCTCCAGTCAATGTAAACCCCGACCCCTCCCACCTCGGGAGGACAAATGTGGGGCATTAGACAGGGTTTACCGCCAAATTGTGTCCGTGGAGGTGGGGTAATAGCCGTGTTTCGTGTCCCGTCATCGCTAGCATCGCTAGTACTCTGCTGATAGCAAGCACAGCGGACAGTGGCGATCGGTGGAGAAATGTGGGGGGTTTGTTTTGGGTGGGGATTTGCCTATCCATCTTGCCCCAGGAGGTGGGGCATTTCGCAAATTTTACAACAATAATTTCCAAATCCCCCACTAAATCCCGAGGTGGGGAGAGTGGGGGTTGACATTGACTGGAGCATAACGCAGTACAGTAAGGTACTTGTTTGCGCAATAAAACTGCAAGTCTTTTCTACAATGCTAACTCAGTTGTATTCGTAATCTATTTTGTTTCTTTTGACCATGAAACATCGCACTCGTGTTTCAACATAAATGTATGCCATCTAATGTTTTTGTAAACACTGATTTTTACTTTTAACAAGCAGCCTGTCGGCTGAGATAGCTCCGCTGTTAGCAATGCACATGGCAATTAAAGAACAGAAGATATCATTACAAAATGAACAAATCTGAGAGAGGTCGACATGTAGTACCTATATATGTAATATCAAAGCAATTGGACTTGCGGTTTTCAACAAGAAGTCGAAAATATCACTTTTTACCAAAAATGACAAAAATATTCACCAAAATTAGAGAATTAAAGATATCATTACAAAATGAACAAATCTGAGAGAGGTCCACATGTAGTACCTATATATGTAATATCAAAGCAATTGCACTTGCGGTTTTCAACAAGAAGTCGAAAATATCACTTTTTACTAAAAATGACAAAAATATTCACCAAAATTAGAGAATTGAAGATATCATCATAAAATGAACAAATCTGAGAGAGGTCTACCCAAGGTACATATACACCAAGTATCAAAGCATTCAGGCTTGTAGTTTTCAAGAAGAAGTCGAAAAAGTAAAACATTGACACGGACGACGACGACGGACGACGACGACGGACAATCACTCATATGATAAGCTCCGCTCGACAAAGTCGACAGCGGAGCTAAAAATTCAAGGAGTACAAAATTTTAATGTATTTTTTTTATATTCTAAAAACTCAATCGAAACTAATTATTTAATTGTGGTTGAATGTTTTTATGGTATTATATATCCATTGCTTTATTCCAGACAGTTTTACATATTAAACATCTATTTTCCATGATTCCTATTGCTTCTGAGTACTTTCCTTCTACCGAGTTAATAGCAAGACACACGTGAGTTCTCGTTCAGTGAGCAGTTGGTAAACTTTGCATCCCAAACTTTGACAATCCCAAAGTCCTCGGCTGTCAACTGATGATCCACATACCCCTCCTCCCACTGCTTTAACATTGTTAGCGATCACTTATAAAATGTCATGTTGCAAACTAATTTATTAACTTCTTACACTACAAAACGGCTAGTAGTCTTTCGCCGAATTCAAGTTTAATGAAAATACAGGACTTCCAGAGACTACGCCAACGGCCAAACTTGAAAAAATTAAGATGCCGTGGCTGATCCGAAAACCATGAAAATATCGACTTACCATGAGATTGTTCTCCTTATAGTGATAAAAACATGAACAAATCTTCGAGAATTAATATGTAAGCGCAGATATTACAAGACACATACACCATAGCCAATAAACAACTAAAATATAAGAAGCGTTCAGTTGAATGATCGAATGTGGCGCTCTATCTGTTGTGACCTCTGAATTGGACCCTCTAGGCTAAGAAGAATTATTTACAGTTATATAAAAAATAACATTAAAATGCAAAATCTAATTTTCGTACTCGTAATAACTTATCGTATGGCTTTAAATAATGAAGCAGATATGAAGATATAAACATATGAATCTGTTAACATAGGGATTTAGTTTTGAATCTATAGATAAATTCGAACAAAGTTGAAGGGTTCAAACGATCCCACTATGCACCGGGATATTCAAATTTGCGTTGAACACGTGATACATATACCGTATAAAGTTTTGAACTCGTGGCAAATACTACATAAATATAGGAGTAGAAACTACGAATTTAAAATTTGCAATAATAAATCAAATAATAATACAGTTATTTTGAATATTTGTGAAGTTTTTATCCATTTGTTTACAATTTTTCACATAACACATATTTTGCCCAAGTTTGATTTTTTTTTTATATTTAACAAATGTATATTTGCTAAGATATGGGTGAAAATATGGCTACTGTATTTACTCTATTAGTAGTGCATGTGTAAATTACAGATATATTTCTATGGTCAAAATAAATATTAGTATAGAGAAAATACTATAAATGGAAACACTGATACTGTACTGATAGTTTCAAGGAATTTACCAAGTAAATATTTGTACCTTCTCAAAAACCACAAAATAAATTTGTTTCAAACTTGACACACCATTATTGATTCTTTTCTTGATCAATTATAATATTTTTTAGCAACTATTTTTTTTTTTCATATTGAGTAACTTTTTCTAAAAACTGTAAACATGGTTTCATTCACATTCACCAGACATGTACTGTACCTTTAACTTGTATTTTTGGCAACATTTTGTTCAAAGCAAAAGACGTGTACTGTGATAATTACAACAGTTGCAATATATTCAGCATTTTTTTGCCAATAGCCAAATGCCACCAAGCAGTTTTGTGAATTTGGTTGTGATTGAGTTTTCAGCATCTAAGCCACAGTCTGCTGGCGTACACATGATAATAAAATAAATGTAATTTATATCTGGGGACCGCCATCTTGAATATGCCATCAAGTCACTGGATAAACAGGATTCTCTGTTTATCAAAGATGGATTACTAGATCAATGTATCCTTTAGATTTTATTTTGCCCCAAGTTACTCAAAAAATAATAATACAATTTTGAAAGACTTTACCCTTTTATGACAGTATTTCTGGTTTTCTTTCATTCATATAAATCAATGAGTTACATACAAAACAAGAAATGAGTAATCTCAAAGAACTTCGTATACCAGTAACTATACAGTTAACATCTTCAGACAGTAGCTTTTGTTAATCCTTTGATTGCTTAACTTTTTTCTTACCAAAATTATTTTTGTATATTTCTTTTGTTCATTTTATAACACGTGGACAAATGTTTATTTAGTGACAAGTTGATAAAAGATGACTTTGGTGCTCAATGCCAAGTACATTTGTATCTAAATTGTTTGGAAGAGTTTCATTTTTGTTACCATAGTTACTGCATCTACTGGTGGTAACTTAATATGTATTTCCACTTGTTGGGTTTTTTAAATATAATTGTTGTATGAATTTTTTGTAGATCATATGCAATCAAGGCTTTCTACCACGTTAAATATTTATACAAACACAATATTTATGATCATAAGTTTGCAAGTTAGATAAAAATATGAAAATAAAAAATAAATCCCATTCGCTTATTATTTTTCAAGTTCGATAGAAATACGAATCCCATATAATATGAGGTTATTACGAGGATACCTCAAAGTATACACAAAGACAGTACAGTGGGAGTATCGGCCGACGCGCAGCGGAGGTTGATGCAATGGCGTACTGTCCGAGTACATACTTTGAGGTATCTTCGTAATAACCTTATCATTATACATGTTTTTCTTCCAAGGATACATCATGGGAACGCCGAAATCAAAAAAGTTTAGAACAGAATCAGCGAACTTCTTAGTGTGATGTCCGATCAACCCCTGTTGGCAGCCATGTTTGCTTTTATTATTAGAGGATACATTTTCTTATATGGTAGGATGAAATACCGCAAAATTACAGCCCTTTCGGTGCTTTTCTGGCTTTTTAATTTCCATCGTCATGGTTCCATTTGAGTGAAATGTGATTCCTAGGTATGTGAATTGATTGGTTTTGTTCAGTGTTATTTTTCCATCTTCTGATTTGCATCCATTTTTGGTGAAAATCATAACTTTTGTTTTCTTTGCGTTTACTGTCCCCACCTGTGTGTGTAATGTTGTAGAATATTAATACTGGCTTGTAGTCCTGATTTATGCTTACAGGTTGATGTAGAAGTATTTCAATTAAATCACATCTCAGTGTAACAGTGTGTAAAGTGAGTATGAAAGTATGGAAAGTGAGGCATGGCAGCTCTGCTGGTTGTATCAATCTTTCTAATTCGAGTTACTTAAAGCGTGGTAGTCGGCAGACAGGGCGTGTTCGAATTTCATGTATATAAACAATATATTTTACACGCATTGTATACGTCACTATGAGTCACATATCAAACAGGACGCGGCGCGACGACTGTCGCCCTTTAAAGATGTTCATTCATGTAAAAACTGTCATAAAATCACATCTGATCTGAAACAGTGTTAGAACTTCAAACAACAAAATGCATCTGACAATCAGTTAACCGAATCTGCCATTTATTTCCTTTACTTACTAAAGGTGCATAAAAATTAAAAATATATTTATATAATTTATATTCATTCATGCTTAAAAAATGATGGTACAAATGAAAGTTTTGTTCAAGATAGCTGCATGTAAACCACATATTTACTTAATTCAATCTACACACTCTGATGAAAAGTAGTGAACCTTTGAAATAAAATTTGCATTGATATATGCTGGAGAAATTTGCATAAAAAATACTAAAATTTACTCTGAGATGAAAAAAAAAATATAACTTTCAATTCAATAAAACATTTTATTAAATAGACGAATTATGTTGAAGTTGTAAGTTTTTAAAAATACATAATTCTAGAAAGAAAATATCAGGATACAAGAGATAAATTTGTTGGAATAATCAAAGCAATATTTCATGCACATTGGATATACCAATAATCTTCACTTTTTACAGTTTTCCACGAAGTAAGCCTTGGACTGGTTTGTTGCAGAATTCTCTCCACCAATCAGGTCGTTCCATAACCTTAGGTGTTTTCATAATAGCGCTGAAAATATTTTTGTAAATCTAGAGAAAAAAAATTTAAATATATATATCACTAGATGCAATGAAGAATTATTAGTTGTATCATATCGTTAAGTCAACATCTTGACATTGACAACGAACTCGCGTAAACAAATACATACTATCGGTATCTAAAATTTTCAAGGTACTGTCTGGATAACATGACCTCATCAAATAAATATGTTCCAATTAAGATTCAGAACAGCACAATTGTCTCAGAATTGAGAAAAGTGAGCAGAAATAAGCAGTCACTGTATACAATCAAAAAACATATTCATCTCATTAAACTCAGACTAAAAATATACCAGACTTATTTAAACAATAATGGCCATAAGCTCTACAAATGGGGAGTTGAGTGAAAATTACAATTACTTGCTTGCATGCATGCATACATACATACATGCAAGCATGGCTTAGAAATCTTGTGACACTAGCTTTCTCTATGAAAACTAATTATTGAAAACAGCAATACATCTATACATAGGCAGACTTCATTTGTTTTGATAAACACTTGATCTGCCAAAATAAACCAATCCGCCCCAGACCCATGCGAGTGAAAATTAATAAAGGCAGCCTTCTCTTGATATTGCAATGTAGTATATCCAGCCACTATATAGCAAACCAATGCCCTCTGATACACCTATAGATTATCAGAGGAAAAACTATTTGAATATATTTCCTATAATTCGTAGGCATGACTCGAAGGACAAAAACAAAAGTACACAGAATGGACATAGAGGGCAGCATACAACAAAATTTTGAATATTTTTAAGAAAAGCTCCTAATATATACATATATAGAAATATATATACACAATGCACATATACACAATGCACATAACACCTAACTAAAGTCAACATCTTTAATAATACTTAACTGGAGTCAGTGTCGATATCAACACCTGACAGGAGGCAGTGTTGCTAACAAGTTCTATGGCCTGGCATTAACAAAATGGTGACTCAAGAAACGCCATGTAACCAAATTATAAAAAATCATATTTTCTGTTTCACTCCAGAAACTTTTTTTTTTATAATTTTGTTACAAACAGAAAACAAAATACCACATCATTAATAATTTTATTTTGCCCACAAATGGTTGACATTATGTGCATTTACCTCTCCATCGGCTTTTCCTAATGCCGAGTTCAAAATGAAATCTCGAGGAGCAATGACGTCCACCAACGCCACAGCATCATCCTTTAAAATACGGCATAATTGGACAATGGCTTCTCTTATCAGACGAGCTGGGTCACGACCACTCATGTATCCACCTGCATGTAATATAACAGAATTAAGTAAGCTCTGGAATCTGTAGCTTGAATGGTATTTATAAATCACAAACAAATGCAAAAAAAAAACATGTGTGGATTTGAATAAAAAACTAATCATTTTGAAATGCTTCTCGTACAACAAAACCTAAACACAATAACATTTTCTTAGTTTGTGGTCTTAACTGAGAACACAGCAAATAGTATATAAATAGTATCTGACCTCTGACCTTACAACTCACCTTGATACAAAGTAGCCATGTGTTTTTCCAGACTCCATAAACCGTATAGAGCACATAATTTTTTGAGCACCGGTGCCAAACCAGGTGGAACTGCAGGATCATTAACACAATCATAAAACCACTGCAATACAGTATGCTGTAAAAACAGAATCCACAAATCACCAATACAACCACATATAACATATCTGTACTGCTCAATACTGTTCAATCAAAGTTGCAATTTTACCCTTAATTTTGATATAAAAATGACAACAGTGCTTCTTCTTCAATGCCCAGATTCACCATAATTTGATTAATGCCCAGATTCACCATAATTTGACCAATGCCCAGATTCACCATAATTTGACCAATACCCAGATTCACCATAATTTGACCAATACCCAGATTCACCATAATTTGACCAATGCCCAGATTCACTATAATTTGATTAATACCCAGATTCAACATAATTTGACCAATGCCCAGATTCACCATAATTTGATTAATACCCAGATTCAACATAATTTGACCAATGCCCAGATTCACCATAATTTGACCAATGCTCAGATTCACCATAATTTGATTAATGCCCAGATTCACTATAATTTGACCAATGCCTAGATTCGTCATAATTTGACCAATGCCCAGATTCACCATAATTTGACCAATGCCCAGATTCACCATAATTTGATTAATACCCAGATTCACCATAATTTGACCAATGCCCAGATTCACCATAATTTGACCAATGCCCAGATTCACCATAATTTGACTAATGCCCAGATTCACCATCATTCGACTAATACCAAGATTCATCATAATTTGACTAATGTCCAGATTCATCATAATTTGATTAATACACAGATTCAACATAATCTGACTGATACCCAGATTCATCATAATCTGACTGATACCCAGGATTCCCCAAAATTTGACTACCGGTAATGCCTTGATTCACTTTAATTTAACAAAAATTGTGTTGATTGTTACCTCGATAAACATAAGAGCTAAGGATCTTGCATAGTATGCCTGACTGTCGTTACGAGCTGCGAATCCATCTTTACCGCTGGAGGATTCTTTATTTAGTTTATCAGCACTTTCCTTGAGTTGATAGCAGACCAGCCATTTGTATGCAGCAAGCGAAACTAGTCAGAGAGAAATATATAAAACATTCAACAAATATTGAGTATGCATGTACTGTATATGCTCTATTACTCAGCATTAAAATGCAGTCTTAA